GACACAGGATTCAGGAGGGGTTCACTATGCAGATTATTCCGGAGAAATTAGAATAGAGGCATGTATGTTCTTCACATAGTCATGGTGAGTTATTATGTCAATCGGACATGGCGATCACCCACCCGAGGCCACTCTTGGTCGAGATGTAGTCCTCAAAACACACTCGCGAGGCATTCGAGTCGCTCTCGTATTTTTCATTCGTACGAAAATCACACAATGGTATCATAATTGTATTTTGTATCATACGTGATTTATTGGGATTTTTAGAGGGGGAGGAGCAGCTGTAAGTTCAGTAATTGCACTACTGTTGCGATTGCATTACTGGTGCAATGATAGTATACGTTTCACATTCATAGTCAGAGTTTACCTTGTGAGCTGCCAGTGAAATCTAGTTCTTCTCAAAGACGGCGGGAAAAGTGAGCCCTAAACGAACTGGAACAGAAATTGAACTTGAGGATGGTATGCAGAATGTTAGCAACGTACTCGAGCAGCCTCCAACTCGGATACGTCAGATTTGCCTCCGAGTTTTGCGGCCTCGGGCTGACTGATCAAACTGATATCCCTGCCGAGCTCTTGCACCTGTGTCCAAAACTCCTTATTACCTGGCTGCTCGTTAACACACGCATCTCGCAGATCTCGCAAGAAGCTGAACAGCATAGCACATGTAAGTAAGAACCGTTAACCAATCAGCCATGTAACTCACGCATTCCATGCATCAATCTCGTCTTCCTCTAGCGTCACCTTTCTCAACTCCTGCATGCATTGGAGCATCTCCTCCGTTCGTCTCGACGCGAATGGTCGTAGCAGAACCTCTTTGATGACCACTCCAAGATCCTCTACCGCTTTGGTCACTACGTCACCTTGTGCAATGTTCTGCTTGAAGTCCTCAAGTGGATATGTCGAACCAATGATTCTACCAGGAGCAAGACCTGACCCAGATTCTGTGTCTTGATCCGGACCTGGCGTCGGCAGCATAGCCGGCGTCTTGTCGAGCAATAGCTCCTCTTCATCTTCTGTTTCACTTTCGGTCTCGCTGTCATCCACGTTGATTTTCTTATCTTTGACATGTGTCTGCCGATCGTGCCCGGTGTGTTGGGTAGTAGCTAGAACCTGGGAAGCAGCCTGAGCCTGAGTCTGAGCCTGCTTGTGTTGGGGAAATTTGTCCAAGAGAATAGTATCGTCGTCGTCATCTCGAGCACGGACGTGTCCATCTTTTCTTACTCTGACAACTTTCCTTGGAACTAGAGAATCTTCATGATAGGGTGATGTTGTACATTGAAGACTCAACTCACCTTCTTTCACTTTGAATACCCGCTTGCACTCATCAATTGCATCATGAGCCCGTTTCAGCACACGTCGTGGTGGGTCGAAATATTTGGTGAGTTCAGGATGAGTGGGAGGGAGCGGATGTGTATTGAGGTCGGGGACGACGGCCGCATGAAACTGGGCTTGCTTGACGCGATGTATAGAAGGATTGTACGACAGTCTGGTATCGAACCACGGTGTCCGATTGCTGTAATCGAGAGGTGACATCAGCCCTATATTAAGAACCAAATTGCGAGACGTACCCTTCATCGTCTTTCTCGCCTGCCTCCATCAAGTCCATGGCATCCACGAAGCGTTCCATAGCATCCATTTGGTCTTCTGTGGGTAGGTAAGGATGAGTAGCAATAATCTCGCCCTTCTTGTTTATTAACATATCCAGGGACGGGAACGCGAAGTTGCGAACGTCGTCTGCAAACGGCATCTTCGCAATCGATAAGCTCTCCGGAGTCGTGTACGCATAGAATAACCTGCACACCTGGACCCACAACAAACAATCGACTTTCTCAAACATTGTCGGTACCAGTACGCCCATCTTCGGGTCCGCACCGTCCCGAGCAATCCATCGAGCGATCGCAAAAGCACCCTTCTCATACATGGCTTGCACGACAGCACTTAGTGCAACCTGTTGCAGCGGCTGGACCGGGTCAGCCCAGACGTACGTCACTTCAGACATGGCGTACTCGCGGCGGAACCTTTTCTCTGGGAAAAATCCACAAATCTCTATGCCCTTGCGTGTCGGGAGCCGCGGAAATTGGCCATCTGGACAAGGCGCGTAGGATGACCCATACTTGAATCCGCGTACGAGCTGTTCTTTCTCGACCTTTTCTATAGTCTTGGACTTGGTGCCACTGTCGTCGTCTTGATCACCATCCATGCTAGCATTGTCGTCCATCTCGCCTTCCTGGTCGATATAGTATTCAGTACGCATGCGAAGCTGGGCATATATTGCCTTCGCCTCCTCGTCTTCGTTGACACGCATATCATGTTGACCCTCTGCACTCTCGCGCTTGGCAAATTTCTTCCAGCTTTTAGGTCGAGTAACTGCAGTGCATTTGCTCGCCTTTACCACGATCTCAACTGCTTCTTCTGGGCATACATCAACATCACCTATCCGAAGGACATTTCCCATCAGCGTCGACTTAGTTTGTTTGATATCTGGACGCGCGAGCTCTCGTAGCGCGAAATTACAATTTCCCACAACTCCATTTTGTAACTTCTCCACAAACGTATGATAAAAGGACTCGTTGGCACGCTAAACCTGGTTAGCTACTTTTGTCGCACTCCTCAAATAAACACATACCTTGAACTTAGTTTTACCCTCCTCGTGAAATGGAAGCTCGTCATCATCGAAGTCGATACCTCTACCATGGGGTGAGTAAATCATCAGTAACAAGAACGGAGGATAAGCGCACATGATCGTTAGGCTAATATCAAGTAAATTCATCTTCTTAACGATAGCTTCCCAATCTTCGATCTCAATGGGATTTTCGCCATCCGTGAGGAGAACCACCTTACGAGTCCATGTTTTCTTCGAGGACAAATATTGATGTTGTGTTTCGATCCCCACGATTAGTGCGTCGATGGCTGAAGGCGCGTTAATAAGAATGTAAGGCAGAGCAACACTACAACATCAGCATCGAAGTAAATTACACATAACTTACGGTCTCCTATAGTCTCTGAAGGTTGCAAAGTAGCTAACTTCGCAAGTGTACCAGCGTTTGGTTGCGCTATTGGTATGAACTCCAAGACATTTTCGTACCCGCCATTTTTCTTGTTGATGATGTTTTCAGTGTCTGGTAGAAGTATGAGAGGTTTAAACCACAGTTTGCAGGATGATAAAACGTGCCTTCCGAGCCAAAGAGTATCACACCACACTGGTCGGTCTTCCTGCCATTATATATCTGCAGCGGCTCGTGAGTCACAGTATAGACAAGAAATCGCATCCCACACCATTTCCTGAATTTTGAGCATTACAAACTGTAAGGACCATTCCAAATTTGTCATCTTCATTGGATCTAGCCCCCCACTCCTTGCCCCTGGAAGCCTGACACGCCTGGTCTTCCCCATGGAAGGCGAGACGTCGACAAGAAACATCGTCACCGTGAACTGTCTGCATATCAGTAATCACATAAACGTGGAGAGTAGGTCACTTGCCCCTGCTCTTTCGGCTGGCATTTTGACCAGGTCGTGGTAGGAGACTACGCGACTTGGAGTTGGACGGCCTGTGGCGCGTCGCGCGACCGAGACGCGTCTAATCACGTGGAGATGATTGAGTCATGTCTAAATATGGGGAGGCGGTGGCTTTGTAAGCGGCTGCGAGGAACTCCTTTGTGTTGACGCTGCAGACTCGGTTCACGAGATCTGCGCGACCTTGTAAACAATTTCAAGCGACGCGCGACCGGGCATCGCGTTATCCAGCCCAAGGCTATGGCCGCGCCGAATATCGCCAATCCTCAATTTCCCCAACTCGCTCAAGCTCTGCCTCATCTCAACGGCAGGCAACCCACTTTCACCAACCGCGACCGTCTCCAGTCCATCATCCGAGTATGTCTCTAAGTCTGGTATCGGGTTCCACGATCTCACATAACATGTCTTCTCCAGCGTGTGCAAATACTTCGCGAGCAAGGTTTTACTCCAGAGTCGTCACCCGAACTTTCCAAGCTCTATCAAGTTCTCTCTGCGGTTAGTCAGCAACAACAATGCAAGTATTGGTTTCTTCACTGTATCGACTTCATGCCAATTTGATGAGGCCGACTCTACTGGACGTTTGTATACGATAATTCATCCCAGAGAGTCACTTTTCTCATGGAATTCATGTTTTCTGGGACGGATAACATGATGCAGCAGAGTTCGTTCATTGTGCTCCCTTGCTCTCGACTTGCGTTTTCTTGCGTTTTCTGCTACTTCTCAATGTGCGCGACTTGGTTTACTGACATTCGCATTATAGCTGCAGGAAATGTTGAACACCCACAACAATCCCTCCTCAATGGCCACTCATCGACGACTCCCGTCATCAACGGAACGCCCGTGCCCAACGGTAGTCCCCTCACCAATGGACCTATTCCTCCCCAGCCGTTTCCCTCAGCGCCTCAAACACCGGTTTCGTTTACTCCAGAGCAGTACGATGCTCTCCGCGCCCAGATCAAGGCGTTCAAGATGCTGATGTACAATAAACCTATACCGGAATCTCTCCAGCAAGCGATGCGGGTGCCCAATCAGGCTGTGCCCGAGTTAGAGAAAATGCTGCAGGGACAGGATGTCAACGCTCGCATAGTCGACGGTGCCGTCAAGATGCACAAGAGCGTTAGCGGAAGCTCAGCGGGTGCAGGAGAGCAGACGCAAGGAGAAGCCGATGAATCTGTGAAGGTGGAGGATGTAGATATGGCTGACCTACCGAAAGGGCCCTTTTTCGAGGAGGACAAGAAATCGGGGATCCATCCGTACAACGCATACATGCACCCCCTCGATCACTTAAAGGTAGACGATGCGACCACTCCGAATGCGTATGCCACTCGATTACAGCGACTGTTGATTCCATCGGTAATGCCTGCAGGCTTAGACCCGCACCAAGTCATCGCAGAGCGCAATAGATATGTTGACGCTCGGATTGCGCAACGGATACGCGAACTCGAGCAACTACCTGCGACGATGGGTGAAGGCGGAATGGGAAACGTTTTAGACGATATCGCGAAGGACGATATAGAGAATTCTGCCGAAGAGGTTTCACTCCAAGCCCTGGCTCACCCCAGTCCCAACGCTCACGGCAAGCTGCGTGCGATTATCGAGCTGAAATCGCTGCGGGTGTTGGACAAGCAGAGACAGATGCGTGCGCTCGTTGCAGAGCGGCTAACACACGGCTCGTTGCTACCACTCAATAGGGCAGACTTCCGTCGGCTACGCAAACCGACCATTCGAGATGCACGTATGACAGAGCAGTTGGAGCGCAAACAACGCGTGGATCGCGAGCGGCGGGCGAAGCAGAAGCATGTCGAACAGCTCGGTATCATCTGTGCACACGGACGTGAAGTCGTCGCTGTAAACCGCTTCGCACAGGACCGCATTGCCCGGCTGGGCAAGGCCGTGTTATCGTTCCATGCCCATACCGAAAAGGAAGAACAGAAGCGCATAGAGCGTATCTCAAAAGAGCGTCTCAAGGCTCTTAAGGCTGACGATGAGGAGGCGTACATGAAGCTGATTGATACAGCTAAGGATACGCGTATCACCCATCTACTCCGACAGACCGACGCATACCTTGATTCGTTGGCGCAAGCAGTAATGGAGCAGCAGCGTGATGACTCGATGCATGATGGTCCTAGCTTACAGTTTGATGTTGAGGAAGGTCCAACGAGTGAGGAGACGTTCGGTGCTCAGAAATTCGAGGGGGAGCAAGACGACAAGGGCAAAACGGATTACTATGCGGTCGCTCACAAGATCAAGGAGAAGATCACGAGACAGCCAAGCTTGCTTGTCGGTGGTACTCTGAAGGACTATCAGATCAAGGGTCTACAGTGGATGGTCAGTTTGTACAACAACAAGCTGAACGGCATCCTTGCAGACGAGATGGTGCGCACATGCAATTCATGTTGCTGGGCGCAGTAGCGGTGCTCATATATCTTTCAGGGTCTCGGGAAGACGATTCAAACTATCTCCCTCATCACATTTCTTATAGAATCGAAGAAACAGCGCGGCCCGTATTTAGTTATTGTTCCGCTATCCACAATGACCAACTGGTCTGGCGAGTTCGCGAAGTGGGCGCCTGGCGTGAAGATGATTTCTTACAAAGGTAATCCCACTCAGCGCAAGGTCTTGCAAAGCGACATTCGTCAAGGTAATTTCCAAGTTCTACTTACAACATACGAATACATCATCAAGGATCGCCCTCACCTCGCTCGTCTTCGATGGGTGCACATGATCATTGGTGCGTGTTGTTCGGCGACAAGCGCATTGAATGACACTGAGCGGCATCATTAGATGAGGGCCATCGTATGAAGAATACCCAGAGCAAGCTTGCACAGACGCTCACGCAACACTACCACTCGCGCTACCGGCTTATTCTCACAGGAACTCCCTTGCAGAACAACCTTCCGGAATTGTGGGCCCTGCTTAATTTTGTTCTACCCAAAATCTTCAATTCTGTCAAGTCTTTTGACGAATGGTTCAACACGCCGTTCGCAAACTCGGGTACTGGAGACAAGATCGAGCTGAACGAAGAAGAAGCACTACTCATTATTCGTCGTCTGCACAAGGTGCTCCGGCCTTTCCTGCTTCGCCGTCTCAAGAAGGATGTCGAGTCCGAGCTGCCGGACAAGGTCGAGAAGGTCATTAAGATTCGCATGAGCGCATTGCAATCGCAGCTTTACAAACAGATGAAGAAATACAAGATGATTGCGGACGGCAAAGACTCCAAGGGGTAAGTGAATTCTTTTAGATCTGATTATGTATCTCATTTCGATACTACGTAGGAAATCGGGTGGAGTCAAGGGCCTCAGCAACGAGTTGATGCAGTTGCGGAAGATTTGCCAGCATCCGTTCCTATTCGAGAGCGTCGAGGATAAGATCAACCCCGCCGGTATCATCGATGATAAGATCATTCGGTCGTCGGGAAAGATCGAGCTACTATCGCGGATTCTACCCAAGTTCTTCGCGACCGATCATAGAGTCAGTTCTCATACTCTTTTTCGGATCTGTGACCTGACTTGTTTTATAGGTCCTTATCTTCTTCCAAATGACCAAGGTCATGGATATTATGGAAGATTTTCTCAAGATGATGGGCTGGAAGTACCTTCGGCTTGATGGTGGCACCAAGACAGAAGACCGCGCTGGTCACGTCGCGCAGTTCAATGCACCGAATTCTGATATCAGGGTCTTTATCCTGTCCACGCGGGCCGGTGGCCTTGGACTTAACTTGCAGACGGCCGATACAGTCATTATGTACGTGATTCCCTTGAGTAATCGTGTTGTATGTAATTCGATTGACGCGTTGTATTTATCGGCGATGATTAGCTTTGACAGCGATTGGTATGTTAACATCTTGTTTTTTCAAAACTTCGGACTAGTATTCATAATATGTATCAAGGAATCCTCATGCTGATCTTCAGGCTCAAGACCGTGCTCATCGTATTGGTCAGACTAAGGTGGTTCGGATTTTGCGATTCATTACCGAAAAGAGCGTGGAGGAGGCTATGTTCGCTCGCGCCCGCTACAAGTTAGACATCGATGACAAAGTTATTCAGGCGGGTCGTTTCGATAATAAGTCTACTCAAGAGGAGCAAGAGGAGTTCCTGGTATGCACATCTCATTCAATCCAATACTATGCAATCGTCATATTGACGAGTCCCCAATTCACAGCGTTCCATTCTGGAGGCTGATCAGGAGGAAGAGAATGAAGAAGCTGGTGACATGAACGATGAAGAAATTAACGAGATAATCTCCCGTTCTGATGAAGAAGAGAGAATATTCCGCGATATCGACATCCAGCGTGATCGTGAAGCCCAGGAAGCATGGAAGGCTGCCGGACACCGAGGCAAACCGCCGCTGCCCCTCATGCAACTCGAGGAACTCCCTGATTGCTATCGAACGGACGAACCGTTTGAGAACAAGGACGAGTTTGATGAGGTTGAGGGCAGGGGTCATCGCCGCAGAGCGATCGTCAATTATACCGACGGCCTTAGCGACGACCAGTGGGCGATGGTAAGTAGTTCCTTAGTGGCTCAACAAACCCCACTCATACCCTCTGGACAGGCTTTGGAGGACGGCGAGGATTTGCAAGAGCTTGCGGAGCGGCAACGAGAGAGGAACACACGACGCGGCAGGAATCTTGATTCTCTGGACTCACCAGCACCGGAAATAGAAACACCACGCGGACGCAAAGCTAAGAAGGGCAAAGGTAGAACAGCTGTAGACCAGGATACGACGCCGGCCAATGGCAAGAGGAAACGCGGTGCGAAAGCTATGTCAGTGACGCCGTCGATACAAGGAGATGACGATGAGGAGCGTGATACGGCAAGTCTATGTATTCTCGTATGCTGTGCCGTTCTGACCCGTGATGTGGTACTACCAGAAACGCCGGAAGACCAAAGGATCGGAAATACCCCCTCCTATCCGAGAGAAGATGAAGAAGGCGTTCAACGAGATCTATAGAGCTGTCCTCGCTTGCGAAGATGAACACGGTCGAAAGCGCTGTGAACTTTTCAGAGAAGTACCGGATAAGAGGGTGTGTGAACGCGTAAATATCTGATTTTTGACCTCCGCTCATTGCCCTTTGCTCTGCAGGAATACCCCGATTACTATCAGCTTATCAGTAAACCTATTGCTCTTTCCACTCTCCGCAAGCGGCTGCAGAGTAACTATTACAAGAATGTCTTGGATTTCCGGGAAGACTGGAGGCTCATGTTCAACAATGCCCGCACATACAACCAGGAAGGGTCTTGGGTGTATGTGGACGCAGAGGAGATGGAAAAGGTGTTCAATGCAGCCTATGACCGCCTCATCGCTGGAAGCTCTTTGCCTGGTGCACCACCTGCGCTTCCAGCGCCATCAGGTACCTACGATAGTGCGCTGACTCCAGTGGAGGACGAGAGGATACCGGCCAAAGTGAAAGGCGGTCGGAAGCAAATCCTCAGTGACGATGAGTACCTGACAAACCCCAGTGATGACGAGTGATGTCTTTCTTATCATACACCCACTAGTTGTAGTTACACCTGTATTCTATATTGTATTTCTAAATGTGTTGGCTGTCGAACTGGATCATCGTGGCTTTTGACTGTTCATTGTTGCAGCGGGGTCTAATACAGAATAAACGTTTTGATATAATGCCAACATCCTCTACTCTATTTCCTCCCCCACCACCCTCCAAGCAAGCTGCTCAACCCACTCCGGGTGGATGCGGACGGATCGGGAGTTGGCGCACGCTCAATCTCTTCTACCTTTGCTCTTGCAGTAGTCTTCTTCTCGAAAGCTGAGGCTACGGGTACCTGCGCTGCGGGAGTGATTTGAGGCACTACAGGCTTCTTGCCAGCCCGCTCCCGTAAACGATCCATGTCAATCTCCACGTAGTTTAACGCGATGTCAAAAAAGAGGGGTTTCTTGTGGGCTTTGTTGTCCGTACCGACCGAGCCACCGTTGAATGCAAACCAATCTTTCTTGTAGTCAAGACTATCCGCAGAAATATCAGATTCGAGCTTATCGATATCAGATTCTATGAGTGGATAGAAGAGACGGGTGCCCAAAGCAATGGGGTCGTTGCCGCTGATGAGACCCAAGATCGACCGAGCTTCGCGGATGTGCACGTTGGCGTGTTGCGTAAGTGTCAGTGCCTCTGCGTAACGCTTTTGAGGCCCATAACAAAGGGCGAGGTAGCGGCACCTTATCAATCAAAACCGTAAATCTAACATTTGGACCAAGACACCAGGTATGTGCTCACCTTCGAGCCTTGGTGAAGGACAATCTGGTCTCAACGGCGGAGGCAAGATCAGGGCTCTCGTCTACAACAGTAAGCGTCCGCATTTGGTCGAGACTCTGGATGATCGTATCGAGAAGCTTGACTACAGCTGGGAAAAGCCTAGCATCCACTCGTTCCTTGTGCGGCTTCGACGACCCTGTGCCCTGGCTAGCACTGAGATGGTGATGAGCCTGCGATTGATGCAAAAGGGTGGATATTAGAAGAAGATCGCGCTGAATGCGATATGACAGGAGCTGATAAACGACAAATGCATGGACGAATTGAATGTCGCGCGTCCCAGCCGTTGTACTTGCGGCACTTCCGCCACTCAACTAGGAATATATAAGACAAGTACGCATCACAGCGATAGGAGAAGACTGACCTCGTGCACCTCCACTAACTTACGCGCGACATCCTCCGCGTCACTCAGCGCAAGAAGGACCGCATCGAACGCCGCGACGCCGCGCTTCGACCGAGCGCCTTTGCCCAACTTGCTCTTCTTTCTTTCACCCACATCCCCCCGCTTCTCGCGAAGCTCCTCCGGAATTTCTGCATTCTTGAGCCGCTTCTCCGCATCTTGTACCCGTAGCAGCACGTCTACTAGCTCTGGATTCCGTACAGGCACAACCTCGTCCTCCCACATCAATGTGTCCAACTTCTGGCGCTCCTGCCCTAATCCCGTCTCCTTCCCGAGATTTTTGATCAATGCATCGCATCCTTCGACGAGCCCATTTTGATGCTTCGGCGCTACGTCGGCCACGATGGCGTCGATATCGTATGCATTGGCTCGGCGGAGCTCGTGGGCGCAGTGTCGTATTTCGGGGCCAATTTCATCAGAAAAAGTAGTCGCGAGAGCTTGATCACGGCTAGTAGTGGCCTTACTGGCGAGCTCATCAAGTAGTTTACGTGCGACACTGAGTTGAATAAGCGCGTCTTCGTACTCGTAACGATGTCGTAGGAGACGGCCATTGACGATCAGAGTATAGACAGTGGCTTGTACGAGGCTCTCTGCGGAGAGACGTGATGAGGCATAGAGGGCCTGGCAGTGAGAAAGAAGCTCTGTAGACCAGTTAACCGCGCGGCGGAGACGACTCGTAGCATGCCGCCTCAGCGCAGACGGAGTGTTATCGTGCCCTTTAATGCCGGCTTTCGAATTTACCGCCAGTTGTGTAGACTGTAAAGAAAGCTCTTGCGAATAGACCCACGCCCTCTCTGCCTCAAAAAGAAGTAGCTGCAAACTGCGCTCATTTGGGACTCAGAATTTAGTTCGAGCCAGATTTATACTCGCTATGCTTACTGTCCATCCTTAATGTTTTCCAGTTTGAGAGGCGGTAGTTTCTTGAATTCCCGTCCCTTCCCGTGTGTCATTTTGAGCGACGACCGCAGACGGTGTGTCCGGTTTGCACAGTGCTTCCTACAGTATGGTAAGAACAAACGAGTGGATGGAGCAACTCGTTCCCCCACCTGTATCGCTCATAGTCGTTGTATCGAAGCCCGTACGCGTTGCGTTGCTCGTTTGTGAGCAAAAGAGCTGTGTTCTACTTCGTATCTGTATGAAGCGACGATGGAGTCAGGCACACTCACCCTGGAAGCCAATCTTCATGTCTGCAGGTGTCTGCGCCATGGAAAAATTAGGTTGCCCTGGAATATATTCGAGCCAAATGGAATGTGCTGGGCGATGGTGGAAGTCCCCAGGAGAGACGCGATCGTCTGTCAAACGCGTCTCCGAATCCGCGTCGGACCTGCGCTGCTGTGTTCCATACAAAGTCTTTACTCTTTGACCTCACCCAGATATATTCACCTGCCTTCGAGATACCAACGCAAAAATGGCGACTGAGACTCTAGAGCCTACATTGCAGAACGTGCTAGACCAAAAGTCGCTCAAGTGGATATTCTGCGGCACGTCTCATTGAAATTGCTATTCACCCTTGTGCTCACAATTCAACGCTACGTTCAGGTGGTAAGGGTGGTGTCGGTGAGTATGATAATTTCAGTACAAAGTGCTAGCATGCGATAGATATATGTGTGACAGGCAAGACTACGACGTCTTGTTCACTCGCAATCCAGCTTGCAACATGTCGAGAATCAGTGCTTCTAATTGTACGTGCTACTATCTATTCTCATGTGGACATGAAAACTATATTCTGCGCTGCTCTAGTCTACTGATCCGGCACACAACCTGTCCGATGCGTTTGGTCAAAAGTTCTCCAAAGAAGCGACCAAGGTGAACGGGTTCGACAACCTATTCGCGATGGAAATCGACCCGACAAGTGCTATCCAGGAGATGGTCGAGCAATGTACGTGGCCCTTTCGCGGGTTGTGACCGCATGTCGCTTGAGCACGCCCTCCTCACAGCGGATTCAAATGGAATGATGGGGAGCATGATGCAGGACCTGGCGTTCGCCATCCCGGGTGTAGACGAGGCAATGAGTTTTGCGGAGATCATGAAGTGCGTTTTCCTCTTGCCAAGAATTCTCATCGTGTTAATTTGCTCAATCTTACGCCACGCCCAGACACGTAAAGTCAATGGAATACTCCGTGATTGTTTTCGACACTGCACCAACGGGTCACACCTTGCGCTTCCTGTCCTTCCCTACCGTACTCGAGAAAGCCCTCGGCAAGCTTAGCGCACTCAGCGGCCGGATTGGGCCCATGATCAACCAGGTGCGTGGGATCTAGAAGTGCTGATACCGCGGACCACGACTGAATCGTTACCGCAGATGACGAGTCTGATGGGAGGGCAGGCTGACGCACCAGAGGACATGTTCGCCAAGCTCGAATCAATGCGTGCGGTCATCACGGAAGTGAACACGCAGTTCAAAGACCCGGTGAGCGCTCCGCTGCCCCTCCTCCGTGCTTCATAACCCACCGTCCCCACCTGCGCACCCGTGCTACCCTTCACCCTGACTCGTCTTGGATTCTGATCCCCGTCCGTCTGATCCGCAGGAAAAGACGACATTCGTGTGCGTTTGCATCTCCGAGTTCCTCTCGCTCTACGAGACGGAGCGCCTCGTGCAGGAGCTGACGGCGTACGAGATCGACACACACAACATTGTCGTGAACCAGCTGCTTTTCCCCAAGGAGCGTGAGTCCCCCGCACCTAGTCCATCCCACCGCACCAGTACCTGCTCACACGCCCCCCAGACTCGAACTGCGACCACTGCCGCGTGCGGCATAACATGCAGCAGAAATACCTGAACGAGGCGCACGAGCTCTACGACGAGTTTTTCCACATCGTGCAGCTACCGCTCCTCACTGAGGAGGTGCGCGGCCCGCAGAAGCTGACCGAGTTCAGCAAGATGCTCGTGCAGCCTCACGTTCCCGATCTCGATTGACCGGCCTTCTCTCGCGGTTCCCCGCGCACGCCCTCGCGCGCAGACGCAGCATCCCCGAACCACCCATTCTTAGAGCCATGACCGTAACGATCCCGGACCTGATCGCCCGCTGCGCCCTGGCCGAGCGCGGAAAGCTTCTTCTGTAATAATATACATTGATTCTGACGATCGTGTGGAGTAGCGTGTAGTAATATACTGCGGCACGTCTCTACATCTGATGTTCCGGTGAACGACTCCGACAGAGACATCAAGTAGACACGGTGGGTGGGTAGCGAGTAATCGCAGCGTAGCTAGCTAGCCGGCGAAGCATCCGCATGAGAGTATTAGGACGGCAGAAACAGCGCTGCTGGACACACAACAACTAATGGACCAAATGAGGAGACAGACGTAAAAAGGATGTTACTTAATACACAAAACCAGACCAGTGATTCAACCAAAACACTAGGAAGCAGGGGCGGGTGCGTCCAATACCACGACATCGACAACAGCAAGCGACGATAACTTGGGATGTCCGTCCGCCCGTGCATGTATGCTCCACTCCCCTCTCTACGCCACCTGGCTGACACAGGGAGACCGTTCCATCATATCCGGTTAGATCAACGCGACAGAGAGCAGGACCAAGGCGCGTCACCGATACCGACCCGGCCGGGCATGCCATCGCGGAGTGCATGGCATCGGGCCGTGGGATGAGGGTAGCGTGCAGGCCTACTGCTTCGCCTGCTGTTGGCGTTTTGCCGCGAGCGTCTCGATGATATGGTGCACGCCCTGCGGCTCGAGCACGACCTTTGTGCCGTCACACCGCGCCTTGCTCGTAAACTCTGAACACAACTCGTTGATATCTAGATCCTGCTTGAAATGAGCAGCGTGAGCACACAAGTGTGATTGGCAAGGTATGCAACGATAACTGACTTTGAATTGTGGATTGCTGGTGATGCTTCGCCATGCAGTAAGCACCTCCACATTCTTATCGCTCTTCTCCGTAGGCGGGAAAGAGCTACCTTTACACATAATCATTGCACCACCCGTCTCGTCTGCGACAGCCTTGCGCAGAAACGGTGTAATGGGCATCTCGCATGAGGCAAATGACGAGGCACCTTGGGTGACGATGTGCTTGGCTAGCTCCTCTTTCGTCTTCGGACAATTTTCATGCTCGTTCGACCCGGGTGTCGCGTCTGCCGACGACGAGGGCGACGATGAGGACGGTGAGCGGAAGCTCGCATGTGATACGGGACTGATTGAACTGGGAGGACTCTTGAGCAGCGCGTTGAAATCAACACCATTCTGGTTACCGAGGAAATTTCCGCCAAATAATTGGTCTAAACCGTTCGATTCCGGTGGCGACCATTGATCAAATGGAGACATGTCAAAACTATTGAAGTAATTTGAACCTTGTGAATGGCTGTTACTGTGCGCGGATGCAGCAGGAGAATCATATGGAGATGGCTCGGCGAAGGACATAAACATGGGATTAGCGGCAATGGTCTTGTATTGATGGGGCTGTCCAAAGCCGTACTCCACGTTCATCGCATTGTCCGCCGTCGAAGGCTCGTCTGCCATGTTAAGTGAGTTAGGGTCAAATGCTATCAACGAGTTGAAATTAAGAGCAGGATGTGGCTGTGGTGGCGACAATGGCGATCGACTGGGGCCAGCACCAGGTGAAGCGAAGTTGAACGAAGAACTGAATGAGCTTGATGCTGGACTGCCATTTGCCAGGTTTGGAGCATTGTCTCGGGGGACTGAGAAGGTGAAGGCCGCCTGCTTCAGCATCATGTTTTCGTTCTGGAGACGGGACAACAGATCACGGAGATTTTCATTCTCAGATTCGGTCATTTGGTTCTTGGCTTCGAGGGCAGCGACCTTGTCCTCCAGCTACATACACAGCGTCAACCGGATACGATGGCCACAGACTGAACACACGCACGTCTTTGACATGCTTCTCTTTGCGCTCACGGAAAGCTCGTTGAGCGGCTCGATTCTGCTCCTTGCGCTTGAGAAGGCGCGTCTCGTCCTTGTATCACAGTGAGGACCGTGTCGACAACAATCAGTAGGAGCAGATACGCACTTGGGACGGATTGCCTGTTGACTTGCGGCGCGAACTGGTTACCTTTTTGTTTCCATTGGCATTGGCTGCACCAACGCTACCTAGAAACCAAAATGGTAGGTATCGGCCGAAGGATCAACAAGCCCCGGTGAAGACATGACGTACCACTAGTGTGTTGGCTCTTGTGCGTCGGCTCATCGCCGATGCTCTCGCTGCTGGCCTTGCGCTTGAGACCCAACTCTTCACCGTCTGCGGTTGTCGAGGTCGAACCACTAAAGACTCCTGATTGCCGCCGGGATGGGCTGCGGTCATTGTTCATGCTGGGCGGGCTGGGGCTGCTATCGCTGGAGGGAGGGGTGGGGTTGGGTATCGGGATACGTGTGAGGGTTTGAGGGTCGACGACGTCGGGAACACCGTCGAACCCGCCCATATTGATGTTAACATTGCCTACGGAGGTGGGAAATTGTTTCTCGAGGAAAGCAAGGAAATCGTCGTCGGGAAGGGCGGAAAATGCATTTGGCTGCTGGGAGAGATCCCAGTATTGCTGAACGCCGCCGAAGGGATCCATGATCTTGAGGCTGGCTGCGGCGATTGCGTCAGGCGTAGAAATGAGAGTCTGACCTAAGCCCTGAGTGAGCACGGACGGAACTGTGCTGGGCCGGGTGTGGCAGTGAGACGGAACTTGGCTGTGGCGGAGTGAGCGTGCGCAGCGAGAGCGACGGTCCGTTCGGGGGCGAGGGGGGCGAGGGGGGCGACGAGGGGGACGGGGCGAACGACGACGGGCTTGGGAGGGAGAGGAGAACGGAGGGAGACTGAGAGGAGAGAGCGGAGAGTGCCGTGGGATGCGCAAGCCCGCTCGGCCTCCGCCCAGCCGCCATCGAGTCGGAGCTGAATCCGTCGCTCTGATCTGCTGACCAACCCACTCCCAGCCACTTCTCCCGCCTGCACGCTGCTCGCGACGCTTCCGAGCCCACGAATGACTCGTCCGCCTACGCGCTCCCCGTCCGGCGCTGTCCTCGCCCCTCATTTCAACCCCCCGTGGTTTCCCCGGCCTGTCCCCACTGTTTCTGTGGGCCGCTGTAGCCATCCGACCACCTCCGAACATCGCCCAGCGGCTGAGCCGGCACCGTCCCATGATCCATCCTCGCACGTTCTTCCTCTTGAGGTCTCAGCGCCCAGGGACTTTGTCCTCTCTGTCGGCGCCGCTTAGGATCAGAAATGCGAGAACCAGTGTATTGCTACCACCTGTGAACGTGATGGGCCAGAATGCCAGCCAGATAAGTTCACTTCATCCCATGCATTCAGCCACCAGTCTGCCCATCGAACCTTCCGCCTTCACTGCACGGCCAGAGCGCAGGCGGCCTGTGCTCGACCACTCTGCCAATTGATATCGAACCGTATTGATCTCGTTGGGGACCACATCACAGCTGCATGTCAACTCAGGCTTACTTCGACGATACGCAGCTCGGTTACGTTCGGCATCGTTGCGTATCCCTCTGCACACGTATGCGTCTGGACCAGCGATAGGCTGCAATGCCGCATTGCGGCGCTCTCCTCCAGATCCTCCAAGGCGGCGGCGGGTGTACTCCGCGCGCCGCGCCCGTGGGGCCGCCTCGCATGTATTGCCGTTCCCAGGTCCGTTCCACTCTTCGGGAAGTTTTGCCATTGCACGCGCACGAGTGACGCCGCAGGTTCCTTTGCACGAACAGGAGCCAAAGTGCGTAGGTCCTCCAACCAGTGCTCCAGGCTCCAGCGCAGCCCCTGCCTGGCCCCTTGTCCATCCGGCGGCGTCTTGGCGTCTGTTTTACACCGAAGCCCCGTCCGTTCTACTAGCGGCGTCTATCTGGTTCCCGAGACCCATGAATGTGATTTGATCTACCGGTCTTGATAGGGTAGAACTCGAATCCCAACCACTTCTCAAAATTTTTGATAATTCAGCCTTCCATTCATCCAGCCTTGCGTCGTGCGATGTGCGGCGTGTGGCGCGTTCGAATTCCTTGAGCAATTTGACCAAGCGGTGTTTGGATTCTCTAACGCGTCGAGTTGTCGCCAGGTCCTCACTGGCGCCTGAGCTAAACCCCTCCTGTCTGGCTTTGGTGGTCAAGAGCCGGTATCTCATACGATATGATCGGTTTCGACAAATCGCGGTGCCTCGTGTTTCAACGTTCAACGCCCAGGCTGGGTGTATGGAGTTATGCTAATTAGCTGGTAATCGTGGGTTCGCCACGTGCAAACTCGTCAAGCCTAGGGGTGACAGTTTAAGTCAAGCCTAAATGTCAAGTTGGATTCTGTTCAGTTTCAGGAGGCGGGGCCCCGACATGGTTAGTGACAGGAGGTCGGTGGGTGGGCCAGTCCGTGTCCTCCCGCCTCTTGTCTCGCCCGATGTGTGCTTCTTCCGATGGGGATCGGAACGATAACCCGGGTACGCGTCCTAAGCCCTTGTCCGCAATTTTATGCAAGATTGCATCGTGCGCATGCACACCCGGCCCGACCCCATCTGTCTCAGTTTTCGCGAGTGTCCAGTATTCCACCGCACTCAGTACGCTGTCCAGCACCCACCTTCCCGAAAACCCCTCGTCTATCTTTCCGCATCCGTGCAATCCCTATAGCGCGCTCCGATTCCGAGACTCTCGGGCATCTTGACCCTCCATCGCACTCCGCCTGAGACCCCAAGGCATCACGATGGCCGAAATTGCCAAGCGTACAGATTTATCTGATAGACGGGGGATCCGCCAGGGCAGGGCGCGTCGCATCGTGCCTTGAAGCGCACTCATGATGCGCTCTGCGCGGCGACCCCGCGCAGACCCGTTCCCGCCGCGCACTCCGGCACGCTGCCAAGCGACAGTCGGCCAGTAGTTGCGCTACCCCCGCCGCGTCGGCGGGCATCCAAGCGCAGGCTTGGCTACGACGTCCAAATTTAGTGAGACAGGAGCGCGGCGCGGCGTCGCATCTTAATTCCCTCCGAGTGGAGTCCGTCCTGCTCGGAGACCTGGCGGTGGCTTGTGTCGCGGCTAGCTATACGCTTGGTAAGCCGCGATCGACTTTTCCTGAAAGGCCTGACCGGGCGCGCTGCGTTTCGAGTTTATGCCGCAGCGTTCGGAGTGCTTGCGGCGCGGACGGGGAAGAATAAGATAGCAGTGGGTGAGCACGTCGAAAAGCCATTCCAGGCGTTAATCAAACGCGAACTGGCAGTGGTTTTATCGCCCAGGTTGCTGCCGTTTGGTCTCGTTCCCAGAGGTGTCGAAGACACTGCCGCTCTCATTCTCCCTTCAGCCCAATTTGTTTTGGCGGAGGCTCACCTTGCTGCTCTCGTTGTCCCCGATGATCCCTTGCTCATTTAAATATCCACCAGGCTCATCCTGATGAATGATCGGAGGAGCAGGCAGGGCCGTTGTCGGATCAGGTGGGCGCGAATTAATTGGATTATTTTGCTTACCCCTCCAGAAGCGTCTACCGAATTGTTATCCAACTAAATGTCTCGCTGCGAAATAATCAGGTCGGCGAGACATTTGAGCCTATTCCCCTTCGTATTTGTCTCACCGTACATATTGTGCATTCAGGAGGGATTACACCACTAGCCTGATACTTGCGACTGACCGGCAGACACGGTGAAGTCGGAATCAAATGAGACGAGTCAGAGTCTCACATATTGTGTCATCTGCCTTCAGGATTTCTTTAGCTCAATATAGAGAATGTACCAAACGTGCCCGCATTGTTTAATCTTCTGCTACAGGATCTATTCGATGGCTTCAAATATAACTGCAGATGAGCAATTACAAATACTACAGTTTCAAAAAATTCGGACTTGACATGATCCATTCAAGCGCTCCACGGTCACCGATGCATTTACAAGGGGGATAGCTGTTCTTGCAGTGCTTCTGGTGGTGTGCTACTGCAGTCTTGATAAGTCTCGCGCTGGCGCCAAAACCTCCGGAGTGGCGCTAAGCTATATCAGGAGCGCTCGTTGGGCGTTTATCGCACTGATGGGGTAGTGGTAACCTGGGTCGTTGCCATCTGGTCGTCTCGACCCGCCGCGGGTTCGATTCCCGCTCAGTGCATCGTGCGTTCAATCGATTTTTTCATCTTCCGTCGAACGCCGAGTTTGGTCTTTCTATCACATTAATTGATATGATGCATTGTGGCATGTCTAGGTGGAAGCTGCGCCAACATATTTTTCTCGGTGTCCATCATTCCATGGATTGGTTAGTTACCAGGATAGCTTGCTCGGAGGCTTAACCTAGCCAGCGGCCACCACATAAAGCTAGTCTGTAATATCATGACAGGACTACTGGCCCAGGATGTGCTCCACTTACGAGTCCGTGCGCATGCTCCTGTATGCCCGAAGGTTGTAGTATTAGTGTGGTGGGTCATTGACATTGAGCGCGCGCGTACGTCCACCAGTCTATATTTATCGACGGCAGTCTTCCGAGGTGCGATGTACATATTGAGATATGGCCAGTCGCAAGGAAGATAGTGAAGAGAATGGCGTGCAGGGATCCGGTGAAGCACCGAGAGAAGGAAGAAAAGTAATGAGTGTTCCAATAATATACACGAGTAGCCACCGAGTATGCAACAAAGATTATGCGGGACTATAAGTTAAAAGATATAATGCGTCTGTAAAGGTATGCTTGCATGCAGGCTTGCGACGGGAGTATGATGTATATCACTATATGGTTGAAAGAGCGGCGGGGCCTGGCCACAGATACGGTGAAGGGCGAAGCACTTCGGCTCACTGTGTACGTCAAGATTCAGGCGTCCAGAGCGTGCTGCCAGACGAAGGGAGACTCACGTAATACTCGATCTCGAGCTGCCGTTCCACGTTCGTGGGAGCGGTCAGCCTGGCGACAGCGAGGTAGAAGATAAGACACGCACGAAGAGGAAGGCCACCTTGCGTGGCCAGAGGATGTTCATGCCGACGGGGTTGAACACCCGTGTGTTGATATCGTCTATCAGGTGCTCGAGCCGCTGCATTTCCTGTCGCACGCGGAGCGGGGCGTGAGATTGGACCTCCACGTCGCGGCAGCGGAGGAAGAGAAGAGTAGACACACCTTCTCGTAGTGCGACGTGAAGACAGCGCGCGAGAGTTGCAGTGAGAAGAAAGCAAGCGTATTCTCCGCGAACGAGTGTGGCACGCTATGTGCAGAGAGAAGCACCTCGTTGATGGCATTGATCGTCTCAAGAAATTGTGTTGGGTTGACCTAGGAAGCACAATTGGGTTAGTAAATAGACAGCGGGAGATATTCCCAACGCAGGAGGGATCAATGAAAGTGTACACACCCTGCCTTCTATTTCCAGAGGGTAGACAGGTGCAAACTGCGGCAGCTCACCGCCAGAATAGTCCCTCTCAATTCGGACGATCTCCCGTGGATGGTGTACGCCAATTTGGCCGACTGGTGGTGTCCCGAATGCTGCGTCCCGTGGTGGCGGGCCAAAGTAATACGATGAATAAGGTATAAGCGGCCGAGAGCGTCTGAGGAATTGGGGTGAGGATGCGTCGAGCAGATAATGAAAGGGGACGTACAGAGGCTTTGAGCTGGAGAACTCTTGTGCGACTCGCGTGTTGGACGAGCCGTACAGGTCGGGCTGCCTGTCTGGTGGCGGACCTATTTGCTCCCACAGCGGGGGGGACGGAGACCGGAGCGGGTGTTCCTGCGTGCCCTGGGAGCGAGACGGCTGGCCCGAACCAAATAATGAACGCACTACATGGTCCGCAGATGGCGAGGATGCCTTGGAGTTGGAGGTGACTGACCCGAGGTCATCCTCGGCCCAGGACGTACGGAGGTTTGTGATGTCGTCCTCGTCGTCCTCGTGCGTATGTGCGTGTGCTGAGCTCATGTTGCCCTCTTGCGTCCCCGGAGGACTGGGCCTGGCACTGCTGTCGACGTTAAGCGGGGTCAGCGGAGGACTCGGAGGCAGCATGTCGGGCGGGGTGACTCGCAGACCCATCATTGCCATTTTCTGTGCAAGCTCAGAACCCTCTCCTGGGAACGACACACGGGTCCCTGCACCGTCACTGCAGCCTTCACCGCTGCCCCCCGTGGCGACTGTCTCTTCCGCTGGATCTGCGTCAAGCTCTCGTGGGTGCGCTTCTAGGGACCCCGCATGTGATGAGGCCGAGGGTGATCGTTGTGGTGTGGCCATGTTCTGAGAAAGCGGGCAGTGCGCAGGCGCCAGATGTCCAGATTGAAAACACTCGACTTCGATGCAAAGCTGATTCGAGAGATGAAGAACTGCAGAGGCGTCAAGAGCAACAAAACATCGAGTTCGTAGGTACGAAACGGTCTTCAGGCTCCAGCCTTGCGAACCGGGGACACTGGCGCCGCGGAGACGAATTGCCTGGCTGACGCAATTTCAAGCAATTTCAACACCACAACCTCTTGCCTCTCCCCTTCCATGCGGCACCATCTCCATCCTGCATTAACATCCTGGCTTGTATCCACACTCACTCAGCAATTTTCTCAGCGAATGAATATGTAGACCCGCCCCAAGTTCCTCCACCGTGGACGGAGATTTGAATCTTCCCTGCACTAATCCTTGCGGCCGACTGTATGAATAGACCATCCTGTGTCTCACACGCTCTGAAGGCACCAAAACCGCACTCGCAGCCTGGCAGCTGTCTCCCAGTGGCCTATACATTACTCAGTCCACCCATCCCGCCCAGTTTGGGCACTCGGGGATGCCGGAGAGTCGAAGTGATGCAGATTGGAGCTTGTGCGGCGGGCTGTTGTACTTATTGCGAGTAAGTAAATCAGTGCACAAATTTACAGATGGCCGTCTCTCGCAGCTCGCTGTACAAGGAAGCCTTGTTGATGATCCGTGCGGAAAGTGGTTTCATGGTTCCACGGTATTACAATGAAGGTGCGTCCGCCACCGACGGACTGGAGTGCTTACACTTTCAGTGACAGATATCACCCTTCAAATCCATCTATCTCCTGCGGTCTGTCGCGAACCATCATCCTAAATGTCAATTGCAGGCATCGACCTATCACATATCCGAGATACGAGGCTAGAAGTCATCAACTCGCCCTTGATTTCCGCTTTCTTGTAATCTGGTGCAGGTCGTCTCCTCGATCTGTCTCATTCAAAAATTCATTGTTATTGTGCCTTGATACTGTTATGGCCATCCCCGCTAGCTGTTGTAGACATGGATTGCGAAGTTCGCCACATGCTTCCATCCTCGCCTGCACAGCCCGGATATTGCCTATCCACCCTTCGTCGATACGAAGCTAATACATCGACGCAAGTTCCCATCCCCGTCTTTATGAGCCCGGCACATCACACGCTCTGACCACACTTCGAACCCACCAGCTACTGATATATGACAGCCATGCCCACTCCTAGAAGCCCGCTATCGCCAAACGCCCGAAATTATATTCGGCCCATTGCAGCTGCTCGCCCTGCCCTGGGGCACGAGTTGTGCGTTACGACACATAGGCTACGGGATCTATATGCAAATGACGCCGTCCTGTCTTAATGTCGTTCATCCCTCGTTGATCTGGACCCACTGCGCCGGCTCGATTCCTGATCCCTGCGCCCATCCAACAGTTTGTTGTTCAGCCGCGATCGTTACCACTTTATGGGCTCGCTGTCATTGCCCTGATATCACCGCGTCCGTCCGAGTCGGACGTACCCTGCACCTAGACTAGGCGTATCAGTCCCAGTTGCCCAGCACACGAGGCAGTGTGCACACGAACCAGACGCACCAGCTCTCATTCGCGAAGGCATCCCGCAAAAAGAGACGACCGATGCACCGGCTCGCCCCTCGTGCCCCCACCCCAGCATTCCGGTCTGATCCCATCCCGTCACACGTCCTTGCAAATGGGCCCCCACCAAGGGTCCCCCGCACCATCAAATCCAAATTTTCAATTTCCCTCCGTTCCCATACCTCCTGGGGCCGGCGAGCTGCGTCACGCCCGCAGCACCAGCGTGTCCGGTATCTCAGCCTCAGGGCCCAGCGGATCCTGCTGCCTCCGCCCGGAAGCCCGCGACTCCACCCCGCGCTATGCGCGCAGGCGGTCCTATTCCCCATGGCGCCCAGCTGCGTCGCGCACGCCGCCGGCTATTCTGCCCACCGGGGTCGCGCGCGGAGCTCGCACCGCTGACAGCATGCGGTGGGGCGGGC